CGCTACGATCAGCCACTGTACCTTAAAGAACTATGGGGTCAGGGCTTTTCCCCATAGTTCTCCTGGGGGTTGCGGGAGAACGCAAACTAGCGTCCTCCCGCGAGCTACAGCTCGCGGTATACAGAGACGCCGCAGCCGAAATGGATCCCGACAATTATGTCTGGATCTAACCAGCTGCGGAATTAACAGCTGGCTCTGCCTATCCAGAGGCAGAGCCAGCTGTGCCCGCCCCTCCCCCATCCATTCCGCCAGTCAGCGCTGGAGGATCGGAGAGGGGGAATCCCTGCAGAGTGCCATGAGCAACAGTCACGGCTCTCTGCAGGGAGATGATCGAGAAGTGAGCGAGCGACGGTATGTGTTCGCTCACTTCCCAATCTATTGAGCCGACGTGCGAGTTTCATTGTCACAGGTCGGCTCGAACTATGAGGATGAGTGATTTTCACTCGCCTCATAGTTCTCCGAGGACGAGCGAAGAACGGCAATAGCCCGCGCCACATCTGGCCCTCGGCGCCCCTCCCTTGTCCACCGACCGTGACACCCACACTTACATTTTTTTTTTCCTTAAAAGAAAATTATAGCCAAAACTTTTTTGTCTTTATTTGGGGGGGTCGAATCACTTGAGTTCTCTTTTAGGACTAATAAATCCTTTTTTGCTCCCAGGCTCTTCCAGCACCATCTACATTGGGAACATACAAATTTAAAAGGGCAAGTCCACTTTCCTAGGTGAATTTGGAAAAAATAGAAGTACCCCTTCCAGTCTGGGCCCCAACACATTTTGTTTACCTTTGGGTAAACGCTCCTTCCCCTCCACCGATGCAGTATATGTATGCCGCACATGGAATCCGCCCTGCACTCTGGATTTTGAATTTCGATAGCAAATGGCGAGCACTCATTGGTCAGCACGGCCACCTGACTGGAGGAGGCCAGATTAAAGGGGGCAATTCCATTTTCCCAAAGACATCTATCCTCTCTGCCCTCTGATTGTACACCTCCTAGAATACCCCCCATCTACACCTTCTTCACATACACCGTTCATCCTCTACACACCGTGCAGTAGATGGCCGGGTCTCCGGAATGTAGAGCTCTCCCGTGTCCCACCTATGTCCGTGCACCGGCAAGCTCACACCGCTATGCCTCTTGTCAGCCTCTCACAAATCGAACCTCCCGCGCCGCGTTTGAGAAGAAACATCCGCCCCCTTGCGCGACCTCATCCAATCACAATGAAGGAGGCGTAGCTTAAGGGCAATTTGTTTTCTTCGCTTCAAATAACTTTATTGCGAGCGTTGTATCCGCACAGTGTGGCGGTGTCTCGTTGTGGTCATGCTCAGCCGGTGATGTGTCGAAAGTGCGAACTTATCGAGTTGTGGGACCGCATGACTTCCGGTTTCCTCAGAACTACGATGTTTGATCACAAAACATGTTGTGCACGAGCGCCATCCACGGCATTGCCCTATAGACATAGACCGCAGCAATAAAGTAATAAAATGATGTAGGATGACAGTAAGCCAGCACGTTCTTTATCTCCGGTGCCCCACTCAATATGGCCGCCGCTTGAGTGGGGCACCTGAGATAAAGAACGCGCTGGCTTAGTGTCATCCTACATCATTTTATTACTTTATTGCTGTGGTCTATGTCTATAGGGCAATGCCGTGGATGGCGCTCGTGCACAACATGTTTTGTCTAAAAACCTCGTAGTTGTGAGGAAACCGGAAGTAATGCGGTCCCACAACTCGATAAGTTCGTAGTTTTGATCGATCACCGGGCTCTTCGGTTGTCGGGTGCATGGGGAAGTCTCTGAACATTTCTTTAGAGCGCGACCTGCGCAGCCGCAAACCTGACCAGGTTGTACGGTACATTCAGATATCACACGTTTTGTCTTCTTTACTTTTAGAAATAAATACATTCCGGAAATGTTTATTTACATTGGATATTGACCATCAATAAAGGGGGGCCCCTCTACTGACCATCAATATAAGGGGGGCCCCTCTACTGACCATCAATATAAGGGGCCCTCTACTGACCATCACTATAAGGGGGGCCCCTCTACTGACCATCAATATAAGGGGGCCCTCTACTGACCATCAATATAAGGGGGCCTCTACTGACCATCAATATAAGGGGGGCCCTCTACTGACCATCAATATAAGGGCTCCTCTACTGACCATCAATATAAGGGGCCCTCTACTGACCATCACTATAAGGGACCCTTCTACTGATCATCAATATAAGGGGGCCCCTCTACTGATCATCAATATAAGGGGTCCTCTACTGACCATCAATATAAGGGACCCTTCTACTGATCATCAATATAAGGGGGCCTCTACTGACCATCAATATAAGGGCTCCTCTACTGATCATCAATATAAGGGGGCCTCTACTGACCATCAATATAAGGCAGGGCCCTCTACTGACCATCAATATAAGGGGGGGCCCTTTACTGACCATCAATATAAGGGGCCCTCTACTGACCATCACTATAAGGGGCCCTTCTACTGATCATCAATATAAGGGGTCCTCTACTGACCATCAATATAAGGGGTCCTCTACTGACCATCAATATAAGGGACACTCTACTGCCCATCAATACAAGGCAGGGCCCTCTACTGGCCATCAATATAAGGGGGCCCTCTACTGACCATCAATATAAGGGGGCCCTCTACTGACCATCAATATAAGGGGTCCTCTACTGACCATCAATATAAGGGACACTCTACTGACCATCAATACAAGGCAGGGCCCTCTACTGACCATCAATATAAGGGGGGGCTCTTACTGACCATCAATACAAGGCAGGGCCCTCTACTGACCATCAATATAAGGGGGGGCTCTTACTGACCATCAATATAAGGGGCCTCTACTGACCATCACTATAAGGAGGGCTCCTCTACTGACCATCAATAACCTCTACTGACCATCAATATAAGAGGGCCCTCTACTGACCATCAATATAAGGGGGCCCTCTACTGACCATCAATATAAAGGGGCCCTCTACTGACCATCAATATAAGGGGGCCCTCTACTGACCATCAATATAAGGGGGCCCTCTACTCACCATCAGTATAAGGGGGCCCTCTACTGACCATCAATATAAGGGGGCCCTCTACTGACCATCAATATAGGGGGCAGGGGAGTGTCCACCGCAAGGCAAAAAAGGCGTTTGCCTTGGGTGTCTCTTTCCAGGGGGCTGGCAGAAAGCACCACCCCCAAACTAGTGAGGCACAGGGCAGACTGGTCATCGGGCATACTGGGCACTTGGCCAGTGAGCAGAGGCAATTAGGCAGTGACGGGGGCCTAATCAGGGAAATTAGAGAGCTGCCCGGTGGAGGGGGGTAGGCCCAGTGAGATGCAGTCCGGCCAGGAGGTAGAGGAGAAGCAGCTTGCACACCCCAACACTATAGACCCTGCACTGCCCAAGACCATAGACCCTGCACAGCCCACCATAGACCCCACACAGCCCACAATGGACCCCACACAGCCCACAATGGACACCACACAGCCCACCTGAGACCCCGCACAACCACCTGAGATCCACCTCTGGAGACATCAAGTCGGCACCCCAGAACAACACAGAGTATGTAGCTTTATATTATTCTGCATTGCTGTTTAATGTATTGCTGGGATCTGTAGTCCTCTCTAGCTGATGGCAGTATTCTGCATTGCTGTATAATGTATTGCTGGGATCTGTAGTCCTCTCTGGCTGATGGCAGTATTCTGCATTGCTGTATAATGTATTGCTGGGATCCGTAGTCCTCTCTGGCTGATGGCAGTATTCTGCATTGCTGTATAATGTATTGCTGGGATTTGTAGTCCTCCCTAGCTGATGGCAGTATTCTGCATTGCTGTATAATGTATTGCTGGGATTTGTAGTCCTCCCTAGCTGATGGTATTATTCTGCCTTGCTGTATAATGTATTGCTGGGATTTGTAGTCCTCTCTAGCTGATGGCAGTATTCTGCATTGATGTATAATGTATTGCTGAGATTTGTAGTCCCTTTACAGCTCAGTGACAGAACTACCAGTGTTGCAGCAGTTACAGCCGCGTCTAGGCCCTACATTTAGTCCTGCTTGCCCGAAGCAGGGCTAAATGTAGAAGAAAAACACCTGCCCGGCGCACGGAACGGCATGTCCCTGGCGTCAGGCGATAGGGATTCCACACGCCTGCCCCTCTCCTCCATTGATCTTCTCTCTCCTCCAATGATTCATCTGAAGTCCAGAGTTTTCCCCTCTGGTATTTTTTTCTGCTGCTTGATATCCACAATCATGTGGCCAGTATCAGTGAGCCCACTACCTCTGGGCCTATGTCACCCTGGACCCGCCCCCAGCCTGTGAATGGACAGTGATAGGAGAAGCAGCACTGTGATGAACACATCTGTCTGTCACTCTGCTCTCTCCACCTATCAGAATGTTTCTTGTCAGCATAGACATAGACATAAACGGCTTGGCTCCTTGTGCTGCTTCTTCATCTTACCCTCCAGCAATGCTGTACAGGGACTGCAAGAGGTCAGATTCAGGAACTTACACTGCTTGTATTTAAGAAATGCATTTAATGTTGTACTAATGATTACAAAGCTGCGTTAACATCTTTTATATCTGCATAGAGTTCAGCTTTAAAGCCCAACCCCAGCCAATGTTTTTAGTTTTGGATAGCAGGGGGGAAGATGAGTTAACATTTCTGTCACATTTTGATACGTGTCTGTGACCCCAGTGGGAAGATTTTCCCTTTCTGTCTGTCCCAGGGATGCTTGTCCAAGAAACGGGGGGTGCCATTTTACCGGGACAGGAAAGCACAGTCAGCAATAAAAAAGATTGTCAAGATTCTAACCCCTCCCACTTTACCAATCTGTCTTTGTCTATATCCTGATTGGACAGATTTCCCATCACTTCCTGTTCTGACAGGAAGTGAGATTAAATCTCCCTAATAAAGGACACGGAGGCTGATAGAAGTCCTATATCCCATTCCTCGCTGTATCTATAAACAAATAGAAAGATTTGGCTGGGGTTGAGCTTTAATGTTTTATTGGCTGCTGGAATTTGCTAAAAATCGGGATTATGTTTAGAAATGATCCTTCTTTATTTGGCTTATTCAGTATCCATGACTTGAACGGTCTCCTCCACCAGCTCGTACTGAATTATGGTTTCTTTCAGCACAGGTGTGGTTCCCCGAGGATAGCGATATGACCGCAACCTGGAAAGACAGTAAGAGGTAAGATTACATCAGTGTGCCCTTCATTTACTCCGGTCTGGTTATAAATGAATGTATCATTGCTGCACCAGTCCTTTCTGTCACACTCATCTCATCTCCGATCCAGTGCTGGGTCTCCTGTCTGGTGTGAGGCTACTGGCAGTTCCAGGTTTTGCCCGGAATGCCAGCGCATGGATATACATCTAACAGGTATCTCCTTTAAGAGCTCGGTGAGGTGACCTGTCACTATGCCGAAATCCTAGCCCCTAAGCTCTCCAGGATTTACCTGTACCTTGTGTTTCAGACATCTCCATGCACTCTGAGTTCCAGTGTCTCTCCATGTCCCATGTCTTGTCTGTGCACTGCAACTGCACTCCTGTGTCTCCATTGACCTCTGCATCTCCAGGGACACCTGTGTCTCCTGCAAACCTATGCTCCTGTGTCTCCAGTGACTCCGGTGTCTCCATTGACCTCCGCATCTCCAGGGACACCTGTGCTCCTAAGTCTCCAGTGTCTCCAGTGACCCCTACGCTTCTTTGTCTCCGGAGTCTCTTGTGTCTCCAGTAACCCTACGCTCCTGTGTCTCCAGAAACTCCTGTGTCTCCTCCAAACTTATGCTCCTGTGTCTCCAATGACTCCTGTGTTTCCAGTAACCCTACACTCCCTTGTCTCCAGTAACCCTACACTCCCTTGTCTCCAGTAACCCTACGCTCCTGAGTCTCCAGTAACACCTGCGTCACCTGGGAACCCCTGCACGCCTGTGTTTTTAGTGACCCCAGCATCTTCAGTAACCCCTGCCCCCCTTTGTCTCCATTGACTCCTGGGGCTCCACTTACCCTACGCTCCTGTGTCTCCAGTACCCCTACACTCCTATATAGGGATGCACAGATACTTTTCGAGTACCAGTGCAGATACTTGGCATTTTCATGAGAACTACCAGGGTTGCAGCAGTTGCAGCTAGGACCTGGCTCTGGCGCCCCACCACTGTCCTGAAATCATTAGTCTGTATTGTTTTGGAAAAACTGTCACATGACAATAAACAAAAATGTATCAGTACTCGTACTTGTAAGTACTCGGCAAGTACCAGTACTCGTACTCGCAAAACTGGTATCTGTGCATCCCTTTATTTATATTTATAAAAACTAAATCGTACATTAAAACAGAGATGTACAAATCCCAGGAGCTCCGTGTGCTCCTTACACATGACAGCTGCCTCCTAATTTTTGAATTTTTCTCTAGTGTAGTCTTGGCGCTCAAAAGTATCGGTACATGTACTCGTACTTGTACCGAGTACTGTACGTGGTATCTGTGCAACCCTACTCCTATATCTCGGGAGACCCTTGTGTCTCCTGTAACTGTACGCTACTTTGTCTCCAGTAACTCTATGCTCTTGTGTCTCCCATAACCCTACGCACTCTTAAGTCTCCAGTGACCCTAGCATCACCTGAGAATCCCTGCACTCCTGTGTCCCCAGTGTGAACCCAGAGTCTCCAGTGACCCCAGCATCTCCTGTGTCACCCATGACCCCAGAACTCATTGTGACTTCCAGTGACCTCATAGCAACCTGTGACTTTCAGTGATTCCACAGCATCTTGTGTCACCCGGTGACCCCAGAGCACCCTATGACTCCGGTTCTCCCTGAGTGCCTCGGTGACGCCTTTGTCTCCATACAGCCTCAGGCGCTCTGTATTTCCTGAACTGACATTCTCTCTTTGGATACGGACCTCTGTCCGTGATCATTTTGTAATATTTTCAGGTTAAAAGTCCATTTTGCGTTTTTGCAACCAGTGATGAGTTCTATAACTGGCACCCCAAAACTACATTTCTCCTCCTGGCTATTGACTGAAAAGCAACCACAATTTTAGAGGGAGGTGAGCAATGCGAGCCCACATATTTCTTTTATAACCTTGTCCTAAGTAAAGGAGAATGTTCAGTATGTGTAATCCTGACAATCTGCACTATTATAATCTTATTACATTTGGTTCACCCAGAGGATATGAACTTGGAGATGAATAACTAGCAGTTCTGACCAATGAAACTGGTAAGATGCTCATTGTAACACTCAACGTTTACCTGCTCTCAACAGGTAAAAGAATGATCACATTTCTGAATGTCTGCTCAATCAGGCTGAAGATCAGCCGGCAGATTCTATGGCCACCCGTATGGTGGAACATTACCTCTTTCCTTTGGTCTCTGTATCAGTGTATCCCCTCAGAACTTGTGCTCCTCCTCGTGTAATGACGCACAGATCCACCCCGCTTCCAGATCCAAGGTCGCAAATAATGCCGGCCGTTATGGCATCCGTGACCAGCTTCTTTGCCTCTTCCAGCTGAGATAGATGAGAGAAAAATGTTATTTCTCCAATATCTATAGTACCAACATACTGTATTCCACATGCAGTCACATCACTGAGGGACAGCTGTGTGTCGGTGCTGTTAACCACTTGCTGACCGGGGTGTTATCCCCCTTCCTGTCCAGGCCATTTTTCAGTCTTCAGCGCTGCAGTACTTTGACTGACATTTATTCCGTCATGCAACGCTGTACTGAAATGAATTTTATACCATTTTTTTGGGACAGATAGAGCTTTCTTTTGGTGGTATTTATTCACCACTGGGGGTTTTATTTTTTACTATATAATGAAAAAAGTACAAAGAAATTTGAAAAAAAAACCTGTTCTCCCTATGTTATGTTATAAAACATTTATTATTACCAAATTTATTGGTAAAATATAAAAGTCGGGGTTACGTCGGGTAAATAGACACCAAACATGTCAAGCTTTAAAACTGCGTGCACCCGCTAAATCGCAAAGAAATACCATACCCAAAATTGACCATAGCCGACGCTTTAAAAGCTTTTACCGATCATCCGTTTAGTGTTATCAGTGATTAATGGCCCTAGAATTATTGCTCTCACTCCGACGTTCGCGGCGATATGTAACATGTGCGGCGCAACGGATGTAATCGTTTTTTTCGCACGTAGGCGGACTCGACGCATGTTTGCGTGTGCATGTGGGGGCGGGGGAATTATTGCTTTGATATGTGACTTTCAATTTTTTGATTTTTTTTGTAACTTTAATTTTTTGAAACCTTTTTTTTTTTCACTTAACCCCTTCATGACTGAGGCCTTTTTTTCATTTTTTGCACCCATGTTATATTCCACATTTTAGGCCTGAAAATTACTTAAAACCCCCCAACATTATATATTTTCTGAATGCCAAGACCCTATAGAATAAAATGGTGGTAGTTGCAAATTTTTATGTTGCGCAATATTAGCGCAACTCCTTATTAAACCCCAATATTTAGTGAAAAATTAAATTAAATGCCCCAAAACACAACAAAATACCCATTTTTTTAATGAAATATAAAAGATGAGGTTACAACGAGTAAAACGATACCCAACATGCCCAGGTTACAAATTGCGTGCGTCCGTAAAACGGCGAAAAACACCAGTACCCCAAAAAGTCCATAGACGCTTTAAAAGCCCCCACAGGTCATCAATTTAGAGATACACCCGCTTCTCTCCGGTTTCTGTACAGGAGAGTGACAGAGGAATGCAGAAGTGATGTAATACACATCACTTCCTGCATTCCGAAGAGGAGGCTGATCTCCGTTTGATCTCTGGCGGCAGAGCTGCTGTGCTGGTCCCGGACTCACACCGGTCACAGAGGAGCTCGGGATCGCCAGCAATGGCTGCAACGGAGGGGGGGGGGGGCGCAAACCCGACCACATATTACCAGCTTTCTCAATTCAGAATGACTTGTACAAAAATTCTCTGGGAATAAATATGGTGAATGTTGCTCCAATCCACATCATCTGTTAGTTGTAACCAGCATGGTAACAGAGACCTTGTGGAGGTAAGGTGTTGATTGCATTTGGAGCTAGGAGATGTTATTAAACCGCTCAGGCGTTAGACCAGCATTGTATACACAGATTTCAAAAATTGAACAAAGCACGTTCATTGGCAATAGACCAAAAGAGAAGAAATAATAAAAGTCCATTGTTAGGGTTTACATCCGCTGTAATGACATATAGACTCTTACCTTCATGTTGGGTTTAAATTGATCTTCTAGGACAGCGATTGCAGCAGCTTGACCGGATCCTAAAGACATTTAGATATCATCATTACAAGAGTACATGTCATAACACTAACACTACGGGTCCATTCACATGTCCACATTGTCTATTTATCTATCTATCTATCTATCTATCTATCTATCTATCTATCTATCTGTCTGTCTGTCTATTATCTATCTATCTATCTATCTATCTATCTATCTGTCTATTATCTATCTATCTATCTATCTATCTATCTATCTGTCTGTCTGTCTGTCTATTATCTATCTATCTATCTGTCTGTCTATTATCTATCTATCTATCTATCTATCTATCTATCTATCTATCTGTCTATTATCTATCTATCTGTCTATTATCTATCTATCTATCTATCTATCTATCTATATATCATCTATCTATCTATCTATCTATCTGTCTGTCTGTCTGTCTATCTATCTATCTATCTATCTATCTATCTATCTATCTATCTATCTATCTATTATAATTTACTTTGCACTATCGCCAACTCAAAGTCAGCCAGAATTCTTGGCTTATTGATCTGGAATGGTGGTTTTTGGTTTAATGATTGCTTTCAGCAAATTCCACTCAACGGATGCAACCCAACAACAAACCCTAATATCTGATTGGCTGAGCTCTGGCCTCTGTTGACAGCTCCTGTACATCATTGCCACTTAGTTTACCTAGAGCATTGAACGGAGTTTTGTCTGTGGATCCATGTGGGTGGACGCTGTACAGGTGGGGGCCCTGCACATCCACCCCTCCAGTGATGATCGATGCTCCGATGTGGCCTTGATGTCTGGGAAGAGAAAGGAGGAGTTAAAGCGTGCCTGTCTTGAGGCAACCCTTGAGAAAGCTGCCTTGATGAAGATATACTCAGGCAAATCTGTAATATGTAATACTGTATATGCCTAGTTCACATTTTGATTTTAAGCTAGCAGGAGGCGCTCTTTTCACATGATTTCCCAAAATAAATGCCCTTTGTTTACAGAGCTCAAGATGAAATCTACACACAGCTGAATGAGCCAGAGGAGTGACTGCTTCCCCTCACTTCACTCATTTCCTACCTATTCAAATGGGGCCCTATGAGGGTTTAATCAGAGAGAGAGTCTGAAGGCAAACACCTTCATCTGTTCTTCTCTAGAATACCTATTTCCTCTTAGAAAACCCTTAGTGCTCTGGGAATCCAGTGTCATGGGTATACAGTGGCGTAACAGTCACCATAGCGACCCAGGCGGGACATCCCCCTGATGCTGTGCGGGCCGCCTGGGTCGCTATGGCATTTCAGGCTGCTGGCTGTGAGGAGAAACACGCAGCTGAGTCGATGACAACCAGCAGCTTCGGGGAGGTGGCTAGGCCCGTCGTCGGCAGCGATGGAGGAGGCGGGGCCCAGCAATCGAGGAGGCAGGTCCATGGTGGGCTCTGCAGGGTCACCCTCAAGTGGGCTGTTTGGGTTCTCAGGTAGACTTATCTACAAATCACAGGGCCCCATACAAGATCTTCTCCTTCCACTGGTGTTTTACCTGTACAGCATCTGCTTCAGCATCCTGTTAGCCGTGCACACTCGCGCCTGACGCCCGGTGGAGAGCTCATGGAGGTGCATGTTGGAGGACAGAAGCTGAGTCAGGTATTCGGCATCAGCAGCCACTCCAGCCCCACAACAACTGCAAACACACACAAAAAAAGCAATTGAAAGAGTGAGAGAACCCCCCCTCCATCTACTAAACACATACTCTAAATCCTTGGTTCTCAACTGGTGGGTCGTGACCCAAAAGTTGGTCGCAACCCAGTGTTCAGTGGGTCGCAGCATGCCTTCCACTTTTCTAGGTGAGGGGCTCCTCAGCCTCCCCATAGCGCAGCACTATTAGTTCCCGCGCCAAGCAGCCATTCAAAATATGCTGCCCAGCGCCGACTGACAGCTAGGATGGGGCTATGGCTGCAAGGGAGCTCCATCCATACGTGCATTGCTTACATCTCCCTCATGTGTCCCGTAGAGGTGCCTGGACCAGAGTGATGTCACATTCTAGCTCCCGTCACCTCTACAGGGCGTGCAAGGGAGCTGTACAAGCAATAAACATATGGAAGGAGCTCTGTCACAGCACAGCAGCCCACATTGGACCCCAGGCTGAGGATCCACTCCAGTTCTCGTAAGGTAGGGAGACTGGGCGGACTTTAAAAAAATAGGGCCAGTTCACACTAATACAGTGCACGATCAACGCACTGTACGACGCAATCACACCTACTACGCGTTCTGGTGTGGGAGGTATGTTGCGTTGCCATTCATTTGAATGGTACCCCAAACGCACCTCCCACCCACAGTTCGATCGCCCACATTGGAACGCACGGTACCGCAATGCCGTGGATTCCATTGCAGTGCGACTTAATGGCCAAGGACAAATGTGGGTCCTGAGGTTATCATGTTGTCCATTTTTTTTTTCTGTTTCTGTCCCCATTGGGCAGATCCTGCTCCCATTGTCCTGGTGACCACTGTGACTGAAAATGAGGGAAAACCCAAAATGGGGAGTTGTCTTTGGAACAGGAGGTCAGCATCTTCCAATGTTACATATAGTTACATAGCAGATAACGTTGGAAAAAGACACAGGTCTATCCGGTCCAACCCATGAATAGGAACCAATGGGAATACTTGTTTCGGTGACAATTGTCTAAAAGAGTCTTTCCCAGTCTTTTAGATATGCTTTAAGGGATAAGTGCACTTTTAGGTGAAGTACACTTATTTAGAAAGGCCTTGCCCCTCTAGTAAAAGTATTATGTTCTCCTGTACCCGAGATGTACATCTAGCAGATAACCGAGGACTTACGCAATGTTTACATCCTGTGGCCGAAATCTTTTATGTTGCTGACCACATCTGGTTCTTTCTAGGTCTCTATGGGGTTGTCATTCAAGCATCACCAGCTTCAGAAGATGGCCCCATGGATATCTGAGAGAACCCACTGATTGGGCTTGAAGGAAGCCACAGGATGTAAACTTAGCAGAAGGTCACAATTGTCAGATTCAGGTGAGTATAAATTTGGGGTGGGACATAGTGCCCCAGTCACTGGGTGATGTAGATTTTGTCTTGAAAAGTCACAACACAGTACTGGATTTCCATAGATGTCTGGCCCATAACAGTCCTATGGCATCCTATGCTTATCGTTACAAACTGGCCTGGCACAGTTGTGGCTGTCTGGCTTTTCAGGTGAGCTACAAGTGTCCCAGGCCTAAGTGACTTCCATAAATGTCCCAGGAACATTTATTGAAGTGTGCATGAGAATGTTGCATCACTGGCCCACTAATAGTCACCACTATGATGGGGGGTTGAATTTCACATTCCCCTAGAGTACAATAAAAGTATAGACGAGGATTAGACCTTGCCCTACTCCATCAAAATGTAGAATATGTTTTTGTAACACATGATGCAGGTAACAAAATCATGGCAGAATTCTTACTATATATTGTCAGTGATGTAATGGATCTTGGCACAGTTCTTATCCGCCACGACCATGTCGTCAGTGGCCCTCCTGTCCGCTCCCAGAATGATGCCATCCTGAAAAGGTAAAAAAATGAGTCAGCTCTAAAAGTGAACCCAGATCTTTGGCAGTACACCTTTATCCGTATGCTTTTTCATACCGCAAAGACAAGCCCTGCGATGGTGGTCCCTGTCTTGCGCGCTTTTGGGGGTGCCATGCCAAGACTTGAACATTGAGCCTCTAAGTTCTTATTTCTGAGAAATAAAAAATGGTGAAAAACGTAAAGTTTCAGCAAAAACATATCATCACTGGAACATTTTTCAAGAAAGTGATTTGTTTATGTGACTACAACATTTTTTAGATGGTTGCTGCACCATAATCACATGATCAGGGCCGGATTTACTCTCTCCGCTGCCCCAATGCCAGGTTTCTCAATGCGCCCCCCTGTATGCAGGCTGCATACAAGTGATCTTGGCGACATAGCCGAGATCACTTGTACAAAACAAGTGGCAGCTTCACCCGCTGTACATTTAGCCCTGCTTGCCCAAAGCAAGGCTAAATGTAGAAAACAACTACCCACCTGGCGCCGGGAACTGCATGTGTCGGGAGATAGAAATTGCACACCCCTGCTGCTCCTCTACTCCCTGCTGCCCCAACGCTTGGTTGGCCTTGTGGGAAATCGGGCCCTGCACATGATTGAATGTCATACCCAAATCTGTATGTGCTTCATTCTGTCTATTGTCAAACTTTTCAAAAAGAGAGACCAAGAGGAATACAATTACCAGAGGGGCTACATGACTGAGGGAAGAATAGTCCTAAGAAAGAGTTATAATGTATGTGGACAGTTTGGGTGCAAGAGGTCTTACCTGATTGGTGGTTGATGGTCAAGCATTTGGGGTAGGAACTATGGTTATTGCCGGGAGATGATTCCAGAAGCCTGGACGAGAGGATAAAGTTGTCCCACCCAGCCTCCCTCCATTTTTGTATGTCAGCTGGGTCATATTATAGGAAGCTTTGTCACAGCAGCTATGGCAGATAAGGGGTCTTTGGAGGGCAGTTGAATAGTGGCATGGTTACAAAATGTGGGGCCCATCTGGTTGTATGGTACTTCCCATTAACAAAATTAACAAAAATGTATCTTATTTGTGTATCACTCGGCTGTAGATCCTCCAATCATCTCTGAATTGGTGCTGACACTGTCCTTCCTTCTGGAGGGGGGCTACTTTTGTTCCCCATGGTCCCTGTGTGTGTTGTAAAGTAGTCACCGCTCCAAGCTCACTCCTGTGATGGACTACAACCTCATGTTTAGTTTACTAATTTGTACTGAGATTGTAGTCCATTACAGTAGTGAGCTCGGAGCGATGACTACTCTACAACACACACAGGGACCATGAGGAACAAAAGTAGCCCCCCTGCAGAAGGAAGGACAGTGTCAGCACCAATTCAGAGATGATTTGAGGATCTACAGCCGAGTGATACACAAATAAGATACATTTTTGTTAATAGTTAAGGCTTCTGAACGGTTTTTTAAGATTAAAATCCTGTCACTTTAATTGTTTCATTGGTTAACTAATGGTCTGCTGTAACCACTTCAAATCCACGTTGTGTAGTCTGTGTTTTTTTGGGGTTCCATGGGTGGGTGGATTTGACGAATCCAGAAGTCAAGCTTCCTTGCTAGTAAGTTATATTAAACCCATAATTGTTTCTATTTGACACTTTTCCTTTTTACTGCATTTTCAAAATATGATGCAATAATGTAGAGTTTGGATATGCATTTTAGTGCGGTATAACCAGGGCTTGAAAAATCCACTCATCCGCTCGTCTGTGACGAGAGAAATTGCAAGGCTATAGTCCAGTCATGCTGACTGGTGACATTATTGACTGACTGGTGATACACCCTAAAATTTTTCAAGCCCTGGGTATAACACTTCTGGTAGTTAAAAAGTAAATTTTTGTAGAAATCTATAGATCAGAGCAAAAAGAGGGACAACTGAGGATGAAAGAGGGACAAATGAAGGACAGTGGGGAGCTATGCACTATATAGTATACAAAATACTTCACATTACATGGCAGTCTATGAAGACAAATAGGGGGTAATTTATCAAAACTGGAGCAGACAGACTCTGGGGCAGTTGCCTATAGTAACCAATCAGCTTCTATATTTCATTTTCAAATCTTGAACATACTGAAGAGAGAAGCTGATTGGTTGCCACGGGCAACTGCTCCATATTCTGTCTGCTCCTGTTTTGATAAATTCCCCTCACAGAGTTTAACAATTAGATATTTGCATAAGCAACTCCTGCCGATGCATTTTGTAAATTAGAAAAACAAAGTTTGCCACCCATCAAGTTGTATAATGGCTGCGGTATGAAAGTGAAACTTCCTTCTTCTAGTCGTCCTTGATAATACACGTGGCATTTTATAGGCCTTGACTCGCTTTAATAATATATAGTCTGTTGTCTGCCCTCTTCCCATCAGAAGGTTAATAATTCACACAATGCTGAGACCTGTAGTTCCTGGGACAATAGTTAGGATACTACCGAATAATGTACAGAGCCAATCACAAATCTTTCACATTGCTCAGAGCACCGTCATCAGTTATTTGGAGGGGCATTTTGGTGCTTTGCAGATACAAACTGTACATAGCGCTCACTGTCGATGTGCCCCATGGACATAAGTACCCCAAGAACACAAGTACCTCCATGGACACAAGAACCTAAAAGGACACAAGTACCCTCAAGAACTCAAGTACCTCCATGGACACAAGTACCCCCAAGAACACAAGAACCTCGATGGACACAAGTACCCCCATGGACACAAGTACCTAAATGGACACAAGTACCTCCATGGACACAAGTACCCCCAAGAACACAAGAACCTCGATGGACACAAGTACCTCCATGGACACAAGTACCTCCATGGACACAAGTACCCCCAAGAACACAAGTACCTCCATGGACACAATTCCCCTCATGGACACAAGTACCTCCAAGAACACAAGTACCTCCAAGAACACAAGTACCTCCATGGACACAAGTACCTCCATGGACACAAGTACCTCCATGGACACACGTACCTCCATGGACACAAATACCTCCATGGACACAATTCCCCTCATAGACACAAGTACCTACATGGACACAAGTACCTCCATGGACACACGTACCTCCATGGACACAAATACCTCCATGGACACAATTCCCCTCATAGACACAAGTACCTACATGGACACAAGTACCCCCAAGAACACCACACAGGGAATGAAAAAATTATTCTTTGGCATTCCTATGTTCTTTGGAGAATGCTGCCGGTTAAAAAAAAAGTGTCCATGCTGCATTAATCAGTAAAATAATGAATTACTAGTATAAAAAACTCTGGATTCTGGATAATATAAAACATTTTCTGGATCCCAAGATCAATTTGATCTTATATACCAAGTATATCAGTTGTCTGAGCTCCCTCATAGGCAGCACAGGGACATGCAGCAACCTTCTCTCTGATTCAGTGAGTGAACACAAGTGCTACATATGCAGAGAAAGTCTATTTTCTCCATGGAAAAGGGAACGATTGGCATCTGAGTTTCTGACTTGTTAGGGATTCTTGTTATTACATCCTGGATAAAAAGATCATTCCCAATGGTTACAGTGTATTTCCAGTTTAATTGTGTTGCTGGTAAATCTTGGCCTGTGTGCATAGCTCCCAACCAGTGGCGTAACAATCGCCAGGGGGCGCTATGGCATGTAAGTGGCTGTCACTGACACAGCTCAGCAGCGGCCGCGGCGCATTTCCCCTCAAAGCGGCAGATGAGAGCGGTGTTCGGAAAGAAGGAGGAGGCGGGGCCCGCCTAAGAGCAACCCCGCCTCCTCTTACATCACTGGCCAGCGACCTAAGAGCAGATGGGGCCAGTGATGTAAGAGGAGGCGGGGCCCGTCGATAGCAGAGGAGGCGGGGGCCCGGGACGGAACAGGAGGCGGGGCCCGGCGACCACAGAGGCGAACAACGCTGACAGGTAAGAGATCTCAGACCCTGCATAGCCCACTATAGAGAGTCGATGGTGGGCTCTGCAGGGTCACTCTCCGGTGGGCTCTGCAAGTGGCATAACTAGCAATCACGGAGCTCCATACAAAATTTTGCTATGGGGCCCTGTGATTTCTAGTTACGCCCCGGCTCCCAACTGTCCCTGATTTGGAGAGATGGTCCTTGTTTTAGAACAAAGTCCCTTTGTCTCTATTTTTCTGGCCTGGTCTGGAATAGACTGCGCTGGTGTGAACAGAGGTCAGAAATAGCATAGGGGTACATTAGGATGCATTTTGGGTCCAGAAACAATCTGGTCTGGAGATGATCTGGATGTGGTGTGAATGGGCCTTCCAAACGGGGACTAATAGACTAATAAAAATGTTTATATGTACAATGTGCCGTGCTGCTGAATATGTTGTTATGTAAATAAGAAAATGTCAATGTATTTATTTGAAAATTATTAAAACAAACAAAAAAAACTAAACAAAAAAAAAACCTCAGCTGTCAGATTAGACTCCTACATCCACTTGTTTTCTGTGACCAGACATACATTTGTTTGCGAAGGAAAATCTTGTCGAATTGGCCAGAGTTCCACTGATTGTACAATGAGCGACTCTGAGTACTGTTAAAGCTAAACAAATATCACCCTCATGCAAGAGTCCAGTGTATTCTTCCTGGAATCTGCTTTGTATGTTTCTTCCAGATCTGGGCAGTAATCCAATGTGACACTTGGAGCTTCCTGTAATAAAGAACAGTCACTGCTGATCTCTCTCCTTGTACAGGGTGACTGGTCTTGTATCCGCCCCCTCCTGTAATAAAGACCAGTCATTGATGTTCTCTCTCCTTGTGCAGGGTGACTGACCTTGTCTCCGCCCCTCCTGTAATAAAGACCAGTCATTGATGTTCTCTCTCCTTGTGCAGGGTGACTGGCCTTGTCTCCACCTCCCTCCTGTAATAAAGACCAGTCACTGATGTTCTCTCTGCCTGACTGGTCTTGTCTCCGCCCCCTCCTGTAGTTTTCTGTATTGGGTTGAGCCCGCTGGATCCCTCTCCCAGCTCAGCTTTCTGCACATAGCACAGTGATGATGTCACTGCTACTTTTTAAATGTAATATACTTTGTGGCTGTTGAGAAATATATTTAAAGAACTCCCGGTTTTAGAAAAATGAACTCTTGCAGTGTGGGGGTAGCCCCAATGCGAAGGGTTAATTTTTCTAAAACCTGGAGGTCTTCTTTAAATGAAAGTTTTTGTGCCTGGTGTTCAGCTTTGAGGCCTAGGTTGTATGTTGGTGTTTAGTCTTTGTACCCGGATGGAAGAGGCACTCTGCAGACACCTTTGGCACGGGTTTTCAATGTGAAAAGGACACCGATGGGGAAAAGATTGCTAACCCGTTTATTGCCCCAATGAAACTCACCCAGTGAAGTCTGCAGGAGTCCCACAGACATTAGATCAGGGGGAGGCAACCTCAGCACTCCAGTTTGGAACTACAAGTCTCATAAGACATTGCAAATGTGACAGTCACAGGAATGACTCCCAGAGAGCAGAGCCATGATAGGATTTGCAGTTTCTCCAGAATTTGATTTCCAAGGTTGCTTACCTCTGCATTACATTAAATAACCACGTGCCCCAGCCAAAAACAGACCAGAAGACTCTAGGAGGAGAACTGTTGACGCCCCCATCTTGGGGAACTCCAGAGTTTATCTCTCCCCATAAAGAATGGCTTGTGAACAGGGCCGGTGCTTCCACTAGGCAAACTAGGCAGCCGCCTAGGGCGCAGCCAGGGCCGGACCCTTTCACTGCCACGACTTAGGTCATATGTTGTGGCAGTGGGCGGTGTTATGGGAGTCCTTTGGTATGGGGGTTGTTATGGATGTTTTATGGGATTCCTGAGGTATAGTGTGTGTTATGTTAGTCCTGAGGTAATGAGGGTGATATGTTGCGGTCCTAAAGCATTGGGTCAACAGGGGTTATTTTAGCGGTGGATGAGTTCGGCGCTTGTTTCGTGGTTATTTGTTGGTCTGTTAGGGTTGGTTGGGGTGTGTGATAGGGGCTAGGGGAATCTGATTTTGGGGGAGTGTGTTTGGGGTGTGTGATGGGGGAATGTTGCAGCATTGGTAAATGGGCCACTGATAGGGTCAGTGGGTGATAGCAGCAGGGGGTACACTGTAGTCAGTGGGAGATAACAACGTTGGAGCGAGAAGCCACCTAATTAGAGAGCCACCTCAGCTGCTTCCCGTCTGACTGGCCCACAGTGCTGAGAGCTAAGGGGGTCCATGATGCTCTTAATTCAGCCCTGGGCGCAGACTTGATCAATGGCTTCCTTACAGGATTGGATGATGATTGATGATCACTGGAAACAAAGCTGTCTCATGCACACTTCAGCCAATCCGTAAAGGGGGGGGCGCAAATTAGTCTAACAGCAGCCCTGCTTGTGAAATAATAGATATCACCAGGGAACAGGCACTCACACCAGCAGAGAAGTTCTTGTATATCAAGTATATTAATTGTACAGAAAGTAACAATCCATTGCTATATCAATCCCATAGTTTGTTGGGTTTTTTTTGTCTAGAATTGCCACGTATAATATTGCATTCAGATCGTGTTTAATCATGGAGGAGGGATGGTGTCAAGCTATAACACGACTCCCAGCGTAGCACAATGGACAGACGGAAAAAAAGTCTATTCACAGTATCGATTGCTAACCTGGAGGTCCGATCTTGTGTATTAATATGCGGGGAGAAAAGACAAAACTTTACGTCTGAGGCCTTACGGCCTTATGTATTGCCGCCCTGAGCCTGAGCAATGCAATAATTGTGTGCAAAGTGCAGCAGCCATTGCAGGAGCCTGTATGTATCCCCGCTTCAGTTTACCAGGAGTGCCAAAATACAGAATATTGGTTTCCCCGTAGAAGTACATGGCCAGATTAGGTAACGATCGGTCAACCTGATATAATCATTCTGTTGATCATTCGATGGAACTTAAAAGATCGAATAGAATAAGAATCAGAGATCACAGATCCTCCTTTTGATCGCTTTTCAATGTTTTTAGCTGCCGCAGAATAATTTTTTGATCGATTGAATGAAATATCTACATGTGTGTCAGACAACCCATCATGAAGACACAGATTGAGGAAATGGTCATTTTAAATGCATCTTTTCGTATACTTCACATTTCTATATGATAATGTAGGTGTTGTATCATTCAATATTTGAATCGATGATTCATTTTACTTGTTTGCTTGTACCCAGATCGGTCACAAATCACTGCATGCATGTTCACTTTAAGGCCTCATTCACATTGCTAAGAGCCGGCCCGTACAGATCCTATGGGAGTACGCCGCTGTACGCTCACCCGAACTGCACATAAATGCGGGTGCGGGTGTCCGTGCTCGGACGCAGACAGAATTCATCCTGTCAGCGTACGAGTACGGACACTCACACCCGCACGGATGTGCAGCTCGGGTGAGCGTACAGCCTCGTACTCCCATAGAGAAGAACAGGCTGCTGCGTACAATCGCACGCAGCACCTGTCCTTCCCGGCAGCGGCTCGATACGGCCGTGCACGCCGCACGGATCTGTACGGGCCGGCTCTTAGCAGTGTGAATGAGGCCTTAGTCGTGTCAATCGGCCTGATCTTTGCATGCATGGCCGACATAACCCGCAGCAAGAAGATTTTATCTTTCCCAAGTTTGGAGGATACATTTTATACTTAATAGATACCCCACGCGTTACATAGTTACATAGTTAAATGTTGAATAAAGACACAGGTCCATCTAGTTCAACCGATGTGTGCGTGTGTGTGTGTGTGTGTAGGAGTGTCGTATCGTCATCGATAATGAAATGCTTGATTACGATCACATGTAACGAGATCAATCACAAATCAATGCGTGCATGGCCGCCTTAAGTCATGTCGATGGGCCCAATCTTTGCATGTGTGGCCGATGTAACTGGCACCAAGATTTTATCTTTCACCAGTTCGGAGAAGTCTGTGATCGGGTTGCTTTAGGTTGCTGCACTTTTTGTCTGATTAGATGATTAGATTTTGAGGAATCTCTTACCTGAGACAGTTCTCAAAGCTGAATCCTCCTTGTTGGGGCTCGAATCTCGAGAGTGTTGGCAACATGGTGGCAGTTTGAGGTGCGGTCTTCTCACTAAAGTTGTCTCGGAGACTTTGGAGCAGTTACCTGTCAATCTTTATCTCCTCTTCTTCTGAAGTCTACCTGTCTGTTGTCACCAATGCTCTCTATAATACAGACCTGGGCTCTGCCTCCCCCCTTATTGTTAGCTTGAGTCCCCCCAAACACTGCCGCGCTCTCCTCATTAATGTCCCCTCTTCTCTGTCTCCTCCTGATTCTACATTTCAGTGCTTTCACTTTCATCTTCTTACCATTCACATGACAGACAAGTACACAATCACACATAGGAGGCAGTGCAGCGTTACAAGCTATCGTATCACACGCGTTGTATGCTGATCTCCCTGATCTGGATTAAGCTTCTGTAACTCTTACTGTGCCATATGCAACACTGACATTCACTGACATCACACTGACACTCACCTGACATTCACTGACATCTCACTGACATTCACTGACATCTCACTGACACCATGGATGCTTCATGCCAATGCCTACAGGCTAAAAGGTGTACAATGTAACACAGATCAATGAACACAGGTGACATGCAAAGAGCAGTAACTTATGCCATCCAATCACGTTTAACTATATACACACACACACACATGAGAATATATTTATATATGAAGAAACAAAAAATATGAGAATATATCTATATATACATATAGTATATATATATATACACATACATACATACATACATAGGTGCGGGTGTTCCTGCAGGAGTGGCAGTGCTGGTGGAGGGAGGGAGCGATGCCGTCCGCCCCAGCCCAGTAATAATATTAATTGTTTCCCCCCCCTATCGGATCTGCCACTGGCCCTGCTGGCGGTGCCGGGGCACATGCCCCCCCTAGCTTCAGCACTGCCCCCAACCACCCCTGTGCCTCCCCTTCCCCAACACACTGAGCCACTATTGCCTGGCTCCTCCCCACTTTTTCTGTGTCCCGCAGCCTGCTCAGTCCGGGTACTGACGAGATGCCCCGCCTCCTGCAAAGCCCGCACTGTACAGAGAGCCGCGTATTCCTTGTGACAGCCGCTGCTTGAGTCAGTGAGAGGCAGCCCTGGAGCCTCCGTGCCGCTTCAATGACGGCCCAGCCTGTATGGCATCAGAGAGGCCCCGGGGACCACCAAAAGTTTTACACGGACCACCGTTTGGGACCGCTGGTTTAGAACACGGAGAACAATAAAAGACGATTGCTGATTGGTTGCCACATAAATAAATTAACTCCGCATTTAGGGCTCATGCACATGGACGGCTGAGCCCGTACAATGCAAACACAGGTGTATTCCCCTCAATAGGGAGCTGCAACCTGTGTGTACGGCCTCCTATAGAAGTCTGATGCTGTATGTGGCTGTATGCTGGTACTGACACACTCTTGCAAATGTATATGGTCATACATCGGGGATTTATGTCCGTACACATATTCAGCTGTGTGCAAGTACCAGCGTATACCCGTGTACAGCCATTGACATGTATGGAAGGCTGTATGCAGCACCTGTGGGGAAATTTGACAGTATTTAAGCTGTTCAGGCTCAGCCGCCTGTGTCCATGAAGCCTTATAGCAGGGGTAGGCATACTCCAGCCCTCCAGCTGTTGTGGAACTACAAATCCCATGAGGCATTGCAAGATTCTCAGCCACAAGCATGACTCTCAGAGGCAGATGCATCATGGGATTTGTAGTTTCACCTCAGCTGGACTGCAGGAGTTTGCCTACCCCTGCCTTATCCTTATAGCTGTTTAGATTTCCATGTATCAGCTGTATTTCGTAAGCAGTAAGGACTGCAGATGTGCAAATTAAAGGAAGCCTGTAGGGCAGGGGTAGGCAACCACAGCACTCTAGCTGTTGTGGAACTATAAGTCCCATGAGGCACTTCATGATTTTTAAGCCATAGACATGACTCCCAGAGACCGAAGCATGATGAGATTTGTAGTTTCATCAGAGCTGGAGTGCTATGGTTGCCTACTCCTGCTGTAGGGAAAATAAAGGCTGCCATCTATGCTCTGCAGATCAGGAGCTATGACTTTGTAATCCAGGTCATGGTTAAAGGAGAACTATGAGGTGAGTGCTTTTCCCTCACCTCATAGTTCTAGCCGACCTGTGACAATGAGACTGTCACAGGTCGGCTCAGTAGATCGGGAGGTGAGTGAACACATACCGGCGTTCGCTCACTTCTCGATCCTGTCATGGCTCTCTGCCGTGACAGGGGAGGGGCTGGATTCCCCCCTCCCCGCTCCGATCCTCCAGCGCTGACTGGTGGAACGGACGGGGGAGGGGGCGGGGGCAGCCGGCTCTGCCTCTAGATAGTCACTCACGCAGCTGGGCGCATCCAGACATCGATGTCGGGATCCGCTTCAGCGTCTCAGTATACCGCGAGCTGTAGCTCGCGGTATACTGAGCTTAGGGTGACGGGAGGACGCTAGTTTGTGTACTCCCTTTACCTTAAGGAGAACTATGGGGAAAAGCCCTAACCCCATAGTTCTCCTTTAAGTATTGAAGCCAGACAATTAGTATTTTTTAGAAGCAGCAATGGCATCCCCCATATTTCACTCAATATAGCTTTTCTTGAATCCCCTGATTCTGACACCCAAAATGGATTGTGCCCACTTCACATCATTGGGAACCTCAGAGACCATTGGAGCCTCAGAACCCTGCTAGCTTCAGAACTCTGGGAGCCTCAGAACCCAGCTTGCCTCAAAACCTGGGAGCCTCAGAACCCAGCTAGCCTTAGAACCTGGCTAGTTTCAGAACCCCAGATGCCCCAGACCCTGGAAACCTCAGAAACCCTTGGAGCCTCAGAACCCTGCTAGCCTCAAAACCCTGGGAGCCTCAGAACCCCAGTAGCCTCAGAATGTTAAAGATTTGAACCTGGAAATATTTAGCCCAGTTTTTTAATTCTGACTAAACAAGTTTATATACGAGCACCCGCAGCGAACTGTGAGCAGAAAGCCTTCACAGCCATTGTTAAGGACTGAAGTTTGTGTGAAGTGAGAAGGCTGAGCGCTGTAAAACAACATGCCGTGAGTAATAAAAGCACCTCAGATTGCAGCCTGGCACCGTTTTCTTATAGATTGTCGCCCTCTACATGTTGTTCAGTTATTTTCCTTCTCCACACCCAGGTTCTTCTTCCCGCCCCGTTCAAAGTGAAACTAACAGTTCTGGAAATCCCCTAACGTTCATGTGATGATAAACAGCAAACTTTATAATTGCAGCTTCCTCATTTACCTGCTGTGTTGTCTATACACCAGATATACAGATATATGCATTACACTATATATATGCAGTATATATATATATATATACTGTATATATAGTATATAAAGACTCCTGAGCATGTTCTGTTTGTTCTGCTGCATTTTTCTGAAAGGCCGTGGCATAACCACAAGACAAGATGGCGCAGCTTCACATTACTGAAAGTCCCGTGGTAGGTGCAGTGCAATGCATGAATATATTTGCAGCTCTGCAGTGCATCCTGTGGTACCTGAGCCTCCAAACATTCCCACAGCTGTCTTGACAGAAGCAGAACTAAAAACAATGAATATCCTATTATTAAAATAACAAAACCAGCTTGTCTTGCAATATTCGCCTTCAATCCGCATACTTCTACTGCCAGATGTCCTCAGCCTGATGGCCAGCAATATTCAACCCATTTCCACTGGCCCTAGGTCATCCTGGACCTGCCTGAACTTGTTATTGCACAGTGAAAGGAGAGGCAGCAGAGTGATGAGCTCATCTCTCTGTCACTTTGTTTTCTTCTCCTATCAGCATGCTTCTTATCAGCACATGAAGTAATTGGCTCCTTGTACTGCTTTTTCCTCCGGTACTTCAACTCTGCTTTAAAGGGATTGCAAGGGGCTGATATTAGTTTACGCCGCCTTTCAGTTCGGAGTCATTTTTATGTTTTTTGACTCTGCAATCCTGGAGAGCAAGATGGGATAGATTTGCATAGGTATGTGTCAGAATTGCCACCGATGATGAGACTCCATACGCACGCACAATCAAGAAATGGTCAGGGGCAGGTTTTAATGTGTTGCGGGGGCTACATTAGAGCAGCTGAGGTCAGGATTTATGAATGATATTAAATGCAACATTATACATTTGTCTCAATGCTGCTCCTGTTTAACATTGCCTGGCTCTGTACCTGAATTGATACATGTCCCCCCTTGACTACAAGCTAACAAAGCCAACATTTTATTCTTCTGTGTACTGCCCTACCCATGAGCATCATGTCATTTTCTGGTTATAAATGGGTCTGAGTGGCCACCATTGATGAATTTGGTGAAGACACACTGGTGGGGCAAGGAAGGCAGCGGGGTGGTTAATATTGTTGGTGATCCTCCTCGAAGCTTCCTAACAAAACCTCAAATCCTCCATCCATGCTCAGCTTACCCCGCTGGCCAAAGAAGGCCTTAGGATCATAAATCTCAGATCCTTAGGGCCACATCTATGCCATGCAGGGTTACAGGAGCCAGCCCAGAAAGTGGAACAATTACATTTTGTTTTTTTCTGTTTGTCTTTTACTTCCGTCTTTTTTTTTGCTGCCTGTGAATACTTCTGTGGAAATGCAGCAGCGGAACCGAGGAGAGGAAGGTGGTCCACGGCTGCTGAGATGAGTCACAAGACTTTGTTGTTAAAGCTGAACTCCAGACTGATATCAGAAACAGTTGTTTTGGTTATGTATTCACTAAAAATAACGTATTACATTTTAATTCTATTCCATGATAAATAAGTAGCGATCACCCCTTAGGGAGCTGCTGGTTGAATTAGACCCTCCTAGCCTGTTTAGGGTTCACAGTTCCATTGCTGCCCCAAAGCACTTACCAACCCACCAGTGGGGACCAATAAACTGACTTTAACGCTGATGATCTTTTGCTTGCAGATACTTTATTGAAAAATTTCGGGAGAGAAGGTTAGGGCACAAACTCCAAAATTAGAGAACAAAGTACTCACACTGTTTACAGATATAGAGCCTTTAAGCCAACCTGGCAGTCTGTGAATTTAGCTTCTGGCTGTAAGATACTAGATGTTGCAGTTACCAGTTCAATGGGGAGAAATCACTAAACTTCAGTAAAGGAGTGCGCTTCTTAGGTTTCTTACACAAGCTGAAGTTCCTCCATGGCATCTTCATCCCCAGGCTTCAATCACTAGGCCTCAGTCCAAGCACATGGTTACCCTCCTCAGGCAGCAGGCCTAGAAGGATCAGACAATCTACAGCATCCCCTCCCCAGGCAGGAGCACCAGGGAAAGGACTGAGTTCCCAAGGTCACTCCTGAATATTTATAACCTTTCGCAGAATGAAACCCCTGGCATGGACCACTGGAAGGCTGGCACTTGTAGCGTTCCTCACTATTATAGGAACATTCCACAGCAGGAGGCAGAAGCAAATAATCAGCAGAGTGTAGGAGAGACACCAGAAAGCCAAACTATCAATCTGAATAAGACTGACTACAGCCTTTTACGTTTTAAAGAGACACTCTTTAAAGAGAGTGCTCTTTAGATCTCTGACCTGATTATTTTTTTCACTTTACTAAACTGGAATGGTCGCAGATATGCAAATTAGCTCTTCCCCTAAACTCCTAGAATAATGTTTGCCTGTGGTTGCTAAGGATGGGCTCAATGTTCGAGCCTTATTAAAGGGGTAACCTGATGTGAATAAGCCCCCTGCCTGCACCCCCACAACCAACGCCCCAGGGCTTGTGGGGAAGAGGCCCTTGTCCCCAGGGGCGACCCTGGAAAAGCACCCTCCCAGTGCTGAGGGCGGAATGTTTTCAGTCTCCAACCACACCTGCAGCACATCTCCAATCTGCAACCACACCTGCAGCATGTCTCCAATCTGCAACCACACCTGCAGCATGTCTCCAATCTCCAACCACACCTGCAGCATGTCTCCAATCTGCAAGCACACCTGCAGCATGTCTCCAATCTGCAAGCACACCTGCAGCATGTCTCCAATCTCCAACCACACCTGCAGCATGTCTCCAATCTCCAACCACACCTGCAGCATGTCTCCAATATCTAACCACACTTGTAACAGGTCACCAACCACACCTGCAGCATGTCTCCAATGTCTAACCACACTTGTAGCAGGTCTCCAATCTCCAACCACACCTGCAGCATGTCTCCAATCTCCAACCACACCTGCAGCATGTCTCCAATATCTAACCACACTTGTAACAGGTCTCCAACCACACCTGCAGCATGTCTCCAACCACACCTGTAGCAGGTCTCCAATCTCCAACCACACCTGCAGCATGTCTCCAATCTCCAACCACACATGCAGCACGTCTCCAACCTCCAACCATACCTGGAGCATTTTATCAATCTCCAACCACACTTGTAGCAGGTCTCCAATCTCCAACCACACCATTCTCTGACCATCTACTTTAGCATTACATGCTCTTAAGCTTGTGTGCGGCCCTTTGGTAAGGTCAGAGGTCACACTTGAAGCCCCCTACATCACCTAAGTTGACCATCATTGCAGTGTGTTTTTTTTCCACAGAAAGCAGTCATTTTTATGCAATTGCACTACTTATGATGACATTGTAAGAAGTATGTAAAAAAAGACTGACAACAGAATTCAGGTAGAAAGAAATGACTATACTTTATTTGTTAAAGATGACAAGCTGTTGTATTCTGAAAGCAGAGAGACGAGAGAATGTTAGCTCTTGGATTCAGCAAGAAAGTTAATAAGGTGCTCTACACCTTACAGCCGTTGTCTCGGTAATCGTTCATGAAGGTGTTCATGTCGGAGCATTTGTTACGGTTGCGTGTGGCTTTGCAGGCTTGTGGACTGGCCAGTTCTTCCACCCAAGAATTGTCCTCTAGGAAGTATCTCATCCTGAATCAGACAAAGAAGGACAAGTGATGAGAAGAAAGGAGGAATTTGTTAGCACTGTCTATATTAGCTGTTCGTATGGTTCCTAGTGAACCGCGTACAGATAAGTGCATGGTGCACTTCCACAGCTTTGTATACGACACCCTTCTCAGCCATCAAACCCTTAGTGATGCAGTGCACCATAGTTTTGTGCTGGCACAGAGCAAACAGAATACTTCACTGAGTGCATTAGAGCTGCAGCTAACGATTATTTTCAAAATCGATTAGTTAGCCGATTATTAAGTTCGATTAATCGGTTAATCGGATAAACAATAAAAAAAATTAAAAATGGCTCCAGTGATGGACTACTAGTTTGTATTGAGATTGTAGTCCATCACAGGAGCAAGCTTGGAGCGGTGGAAAAAAATAGTGTGGTGTGCAATATAGTGAAAAGGAAAGTGTAAAATTATACAGCAATGAATGCAGAATGGCACCGGCTATAGAGGACTACAAAGCCCAGCAATAGTACATTATACAGCACAATGCAGAATACCATCAACTATAGAGGACTACAACAAATCCCAGCAATAGTACATTATAGCTGGTGGTATTCTGCATTGCGCTGTAAATTGTATTATTGCTGGGATTTGTAGTCCTCTATACAGTGCAGTGCAGAATATCACCAGCTATATAGGAATACAACAAATCCCAGCAATACATTATACATACAGTGTATAATGTATTGCTGGATGTGTATTCCTATGTATAATATACAGCACAATGTACCAT